CTCTCTCTCTCTCTCTCTCTCTCTCTCTCTCTCTCTCTCTCTCTCTCTCTCTCTCTCTCTCTCTTAAATTCTCTCTGCTTCTGCTGTTATGAGGATCATAACCCTGGATACATCCGCCTCCTACTTCAGCTCTACTTCTACTGCTATTATGCGGCTATGGCCGCCTGTCTTCCACAGCCTAGCGCCACCCTAGCGCTGCCCAGCAGGGCTCGTTAGCGCTCGGTCAGTCGCAATAGCACAAAAGCACCAACAGCGCTTCCACCTTCTCGCGAATGAGCAATCTGTCCGAAATGTGGCTGGCCAGTCCTTATATTGACTTGGACTGAGCTTCTGCTTTTCTTGGCTTGACCTGGTCCTGGTACCAGTTGCCCGCGACTTGCTTGCTTCAGAATGTTGAGACCCGGTACCTTCCTGGGTTTTCCTTGGTGTGCTGCTGCTTTTGGGTCTGTGGGACGTGACCCTTGACTGTGAGTCGTGACCCTTGCCTGTGGGACATGACCTTGACTGTGAGACGTGACTTTTGCCTGTGAGACACGACCTTTGACTGTGGGACGTGACTTTTGTCTATGGGATGTGACTTTTGACCGGGTACCTGTTGGACTTGACGTCTGGGGCAACCGACGTAACCTTTCTGAAACTGGCCGACCTGGCCTCGCTTGACCCTGAGATTCGAATTTGGGGTCTGCATCGTGGGATGCCTTTCACTTCTCTGTATCATTCCAATTTTAACGGATGTCTGGATAAAATACAATTTAAAAAAAAAAAAAAAAAAGGGAGACACGATAGCACTCATGCACCCGAGCACTGGACGTGAATGCAGCCAGATTCGTCCATGTCTGGCCCTCCTTGCATCTGACTGCAACTGCTCCCCAGCTGGATGAATCTGACTGCAATCTCGCCCAGAGCTTTGTGAGAAATGTCCCAGGGCCTCGCTCTACTACTCACCACGTGCAGAAAAAACAAAACGAATGGCTGCGTATATTTCCTTGTTCCAGAGGAAAATTCATCTCGTTTTGCACATTTGGTGAGTAGTGGAGCCAGGACCCAAGTGTGAATAGGCCCTCATCTACAGGCAAATGACGAGCAAGCTATAAAAAAAGAAAAAGAAAAGAATCAGTTTATTTGAGCACGGAAGTGGTGTGCAGGAGGTCATGGGTTTGATTCCCCACGTCATCCGTTCTATCCCCACGCCCTCCTGTGATGCGCTTCGGGTTCTCCAGCGGAGATAATTGACTTGGGCCTCCTGGCTGGCTGGGAAGCGATCCTTTGCGTTTTCCAGCTCGCGCCTGGTGTTAGAAGCTTGGGTGCTCCTCCCCGCACAGAGCAGAGATTAGCTGTGTCTTCTTAACTTAGCAGAGATTTCCTGGCTGGCTGGGAAGTGATCATTTGTGTTTTCCAGCTCGCGCCTGGTGTTAGAAGCTTGGGTGCTCCTCCCGGCACAGAGTAGAGATTAGCTGTGTCTTCTTAACTTAGGAGAGATTTCCTGCCTTGAACACGAAAAAACCCTGTAGTGGATCGCTAAGCTGCGTGTAGGTAGGTAGGCAGTGGGAGATATATCGAGAGAAGAATATAGGTTAGTTAAAAAGGAAAAAAAGAAAAAAAAAGACTCCTTACTCACAGGGCATTGTCTAGAAAGCTTTGGCCGTGATTGCAGTCAGAGTTGTCCAGATCTTTGATGCAAGTATGGCCAAGTCTGTGATAGGGGGGCTCCGAGGGGACGTTATGTCCCCATTTGTTTCTTTTTCCCGTGAAGTGGCGGGTTGCACATCTTCGTTTTTTTCTCTTTTCCCAGCACTTTCCAGTTCTCGTTTTTTAAATATATTTTGCTTTCTTGTTTGAGGTATTGTGTGTCCGTGCATATCGAAACTCGTGCACGGACTGAACCAGCCATAATACTTGAACCACCAGTACATCCAGCTATCAGCCGCGGGCCCTTTCCGGAGGCCGTCCGCCGCCGATTCGATTTATCTACGGCGCTAGGCCTCCGAAAATTTACGTAGGCGGCAAGTTTTCTTTTCAGCAAGGCTGGGGCCGTGTATTGGCGGCTTAAGAGTCCAGTTGAGCGTTTTCCTTGGGCCGACTGGTTTCTTTCCCCGTTGCACTATCGGACCTTCCCTGACCCCCGCAAGTTGCCCGTGTATACTGCCGCGGAATTGTTTTCAAAGCGGGGAAAGGTACTGGTGGTTTAAGACAAAGCACACTTAGCACAGTGATTTGAGATCTCCGTCTGTGATTTGCCTGACTTTGTTTTTTTCTTCCTTTTTTGTTTGGGTCTGTGTTTGACTTTCTGCTGCTGGTCCAGGTTTCATGTGAATGTGGTACTGCCCACTGCCCACTGCCCACACTGATGACAATGATGGATTTTTTGTTCTTGATGGGTGGCAGGCTGCTCTCCCAACCGTGATACAAACCTTGGATTCCTGCCGAAGGGCAATGTCTCAGCCGTGACTGTTCCTCTCCCTGGCCCTGGAGGAGGTTTCATCAATGGTATTTTTTACACGAATGGAACAGTGCTCTATGAGTTCAAGATGGGATCAACTACCACGGCTGCCAACTCTGCTGTAATTCACTTTAAGTTGAGCGAAAGTGATGGAGTTGATCAGCTGTGGTTTGATTCTTCTGGAGAGGCGGAATTATGTTCGTCTAATCTGGAGCCGTCCACAATACCCGAAGCTGTCATTGTGTACAATGACACTGACGGACTGCGGGTCAGGAACATCTTGTTGGAGACTCCTCCCGGTGTTGACTCTTTTCAAGACGGGACTTATCTTGTCTATCTGACCGAGCAGCAGAGGTCGTACTACGAGCAGGCTTTATGCAAGAGGATTGACCGTACTGGTAGTAACCTACCAGAATCAGTGGTGTGGGTTTGTGTGGTGCCACAAGTTATGATGGATAATAAGCCGCCCTCACATATAAAGTTGAGGATGGCACCCTTGAGGCCTATCGCATCTGGAGAAGGTATGCTTCACTCGTGTGGCTTCATTTCGCCTTGATTGCCCGATCTACTCCTCCTCGCCCTTCCCTGTCTTCTTTCTCCTCCTCGCCCTTCCCTGTCTTCTTTCTCCCCCTCCCCTTTCCCCATCTTCTTCCTCCTCCTCCTCCTCCTCCTTCGGTTGCTGGTGCTGCTACTGTCTTTAATGTAAAACAAATTACAAAAACCTGGTGAAATTTAGACAAATGCAATGAACTCAGTTCTCACGGCTCGCTTTTCAGCCACTGCACATGCATGAACCCAACACATCCTACTCCCAAGACAAGATGATAAAGGCGGAGGAGAGAAGAAGATATCAGTTCGACCCCTAAAGAAACAAAAATCTAAAATCGCGTTCGTCCCTTCCAGTGTGAGGTCGAGCGGATTTCGAGCTCATGCCCTGGTTGCTGAGCCTCTCCTTCCAAACAACCCAAAGAGTCACCTTTCTGAGTATCCCGAACCAGATGAGTTCAGAATCTTCAGATCTGTTAAATTGAGTAGGTATGTTAGTCCATAGGAGCAATTGGGTCGGGTGCTCAGGGAGGGAGGAGGGGAAAAGTTGGTCCTAGAGTACTGAGACTCTCGCCCATAAGTCAGTTACAGGTTATCAGACAGTGGAGCAGGTCCTCCTGCTCATTGTCTGAGCAGACCAGACATTGTTCTGAGCTGTTTGGGTCGCTATTCTTACTTCGGATGTGTAGCCACGAGTTCACTAGGAGGGCATTGTATGTGATCAGCCATCGAAGGCTTCTTATTTTCTCTGTTGGAATTGGGCTGCTTTGTACGTGTATTCAAACATACAGTCACTGGCAGGTGCCAAAGCCACAACATCTCCACGCGTACAACAACAGATTTGGACGGTGCAAGATCGCTGTCAATGGGAGCCATTCGGGTCTCCCCCAGAGGCCCGAGTGAAAACAGTAGGGCATGGCACAAGCTGGCCCTTGATATGCCCGGCCAAACTATTAAAGAGCTGAACAGTAGGGCCAGAGCTTACCTATGGTCAGGCGACCCAAAGAGAACGAAATATATCCCTAAGATAGCCTGGCATTACACAACGGGAAAGCCATCTAAAGGGGGACTGGGAATACTCGATCCCAAGCAGAAGACGAAAGCTCTCCAGGTCAAATGGATAGTCAAGCTACTAACTCAGCCTAGACTGGCATGGCACAAGCTGGCCCTTGATAGCATCAGAACTATAGCCCCCATCCAGAGCCCAATCAACATGGCTGGCTTGTTTTGGGTGATGAACAAAGAATGGTTGCCGAAGACGGGCAGGAGGAGACGGGCCACAAACCCGTCGCCAAATGAAGTGCAACCTGCAACCCCGTATTGGTCAGCCCTCATTTGCATATGGAGAGAAATTATGCCAAAAAAAGCTAGGAAGATTCTCATGCCCGGCCGGTCCTGCCCGGCCGGGCACCCAGGCGTGACGCCCGGGGTACCCGGGCGTGCAAATTTATTTATTTATTTTTTTTTTTTTTTTTTTTTTTTTTTTTTTTGGTTTTCTGCGCTCTACCAGAGGACTCCAAATCCGGGCTCATTTCGTTTTTTGCGAGTTGCTGTCAAGGGGGGGGGGGGGGGGTATAAATTTGTTTTAAAGGGGCTAAAGGGGTCTAAAGGGGGGTGCCTTTGTGTGATTCTGTTATTTTCTTTTTTATCTCCGATTCTGTGAGGAACCATAATGTGACCCTCAGCCAAAAGTGGTTTGCATTTCAATCCTACACGACATATTTCTTTCCCGGAATTTTTTGAGTTTTTTTTTTTTTTTTTTTTTTTGGCGCTGGGGCTGCCCGGAACCCTGCCCGGGGGTCATGCCCGGTCGGGCACCCGGGCGTGTACCCGGGCAGAAGTTGGGTGCCCGGGTGCCCGGGAAAACAGCCTAGAAAATAAGTAAAAAAACCTAAGTCCAAAGAGGAAGTTCTACGCCAGCCGCTGTTCGGCAACCCATGTGTAAGGGACGCAGGAGATTTTTCACTATCACTTGCATACGGGCAGCGATGGCTCTCCTAGATCAGACATGGGATCTGGTGGGTCAGTCATATTTGGGATGAAGAGGGAAAGACTGGATGGGAGAGGAACAGCTGAGACTACGCCTAAAGGGATGCCATCACCGCAACAAGAATCTGTCAACAGTAATCAATAGCATTCCAGTCGGATGGAAGGACCTATTAAAGGAAGAATTCTCGTGGAAACCAGGGGAGTGGGGAGTACTGACCCAGGAAACGCTACCTCAAAGAGCCTACCAATTTCACCGCAGATCTCCCGGTTCAGAATTCATAGGAGTCTTCACCTCTTTCCCAATTGATAGAACCAATCCACAATCCCTGACCATCCACAACATCGATCCACAAGATGTGACCCTGAACTCATATACGCTTCGAAAAATGAGGGTAATGGGTATGTGGCGAAAGACTATATTCCAAGTCGACTAATCTGTGCCCTAAATCCCACAATAAATGTCGAATTTTGTTGCTCATATGATAGCATAGTGCTAAGAAAGCTAAATTGAACAAACTGAAGATTAACCAATGAAAATAACAGATGAAGTAAAAAACAAACAAATAAAAGTGACAAAAAGTCAGACTAGTTCACAAAGTTTGACAAGAAGAATACTACAGCAATTCAAGACCAAGAATTCGACCCAGGTGAATGGGCCTGGATCTTGGGCAGTAGCAGAATCTGCAAGTCCCCCAGGCACATAACTCAGTATACAGTAAAAATGGGTTACAGGATGCTGCTGGAAACCAAGGACCCGGAGCCGGAAATTAAAGAAAGATGGACCAAACTACTAGGTCAAAGAACCAAACCAATCTCCGAGTTGCCCTGGACGAAATACATATGACCATCGACAAGTCCAGTAAACCGAGTGAGCAGATATGAGCAACGACAAAACTAATGATGGAAACTGAGATTCAATGCCAATGGAAGAAAGTCAAACTTCTGATCCAGCAGGACCCGGAGAAGCAGCAAGAACTGGTATCAAAGTTCACGAGAATCTAGTTGGCCAACGGTAAGATAGCTGAGATTCAAAAGCTACAAATCAGGTGGCAGGACTGGCACAACTTGGCTGTTGCCCAGGAAACAAGGAATTCATATCAGACCGAACAGCAAAACTTCAGAGCCACATGAGATGCTCCAGGGTTATATCGGCGCAATTCTCTGTCTTCCTTGCATTATCGTTCTACTGAAAGATTCTGTCAAAGGGATCTGAAAGGGGACTCAGGGAATGCAAGCTGACAGTCAATCCTCCAGTCTAGTGGAGTCATCGATGCTGTTCAGGGACCCTTCAGCCAGATGGAAGGGGGCGTGTGTGGATTTGTGGTTGTATTTCTGTATTTTTCACTTGCCGGTGGAATAGGAACCGGACTGACGCTCCCCAGAATGGATATGGAGCCAGGACCATAAGGACCTGTTTAAGTTCGAACAAGTCAGCACTATGGTCCATCTGGAGAAAACGATGCCAGGAAACGATAGGCAAGCAACCAATGCACGTGCAGGAAGCATGGAGTATCCTCAGGCAACAGGTGGAAACGGAATACTGGGTTTTATGGCGCAAAACCAAGAGGAAAATGAAAGCAAATGCACCTAAAGCTAAAGAAATCCAAACCAAATTTGGGAATAACTACCTTGCCAAGGGCAAGATAGCAGCCGTCAAAGGCCAGGGCCTAATCTTTACAATGTGGAATGATACAACACAAATCACTAATTCAGACTCAGGACCATTGTTTAACCCACCGGATTCCTTGCGCACCCGGATCAATTCCTGCTAAAACACCACAGGTTTCCACACCAAAGGCACACAACAAGCACAATCGACTTTCCCTCGCCCCTATCTAGACCAAACAGCCCCCCGTCCAACAACTTAGCCTCCTACGACAACACTTCACAGGCTTGTACTAACAGGCTGCACGCTAAACATTAAACCCACACAGACCCCATCCCCAATATAAGGAACCCCACAGCCCTAACTCCCCTTAAACCTCACCAGACCCTTCTCTCCCCTCTACTAGCCCCATCACCCCCCACAAAAATCACCGTAAGCCCAACCCACGCCAGCCACGAATCCACACACCCGACCGCATCAACCATCCAACCCTTCAACCTAGACCTACAAACACCATCAGTCCTTCCTCAATTTGTTTAAACAGCACTGCCCCCACCACATAGGCAGCTCCCAAAAAAGTCTTTTCTATCCAGATAATACAGGAATAACTTAGGTTACGAGATATAGACCATAAGAAGGCTTTTCAAATAAAGGTAAGCAGGACAGCTAAAACAGCTAGGTTTTAAATTTTAGCATCAGGTAGATTCTATAGAAAAGGAAAGACAACACAGAGAGGATAGAAGTTAAGCATACCCATAGGCAATTCCAACTAGACCGGAAAGGGTTTAGGGTTTATCATGTCCTAAAGAGGACCACATCTACAGTTCTCGTATTTAAAGTGAATCTGACAGTCGAAGAGCTGAGAGGAAAAAGTTAGATACGTGCTCCCGTAAGCAAGTCTATAGTGGCCTCAGTACTGATTTCCTTTCCATGTCCTAGGTTCAAAATCTAAGTATTCAAGCTAACCTAGGCAGGGGTGAGGGGTGGTAAATCCTTCTAACAAGAAGTAATCAATGCCGTCCCTCGGGCTTTCCTACCTTAAGGGGGAAGAGCGTGTGTGAGGCTTGTATGTAATTCTTTTGGCTTGCTGGTGGAATAGGAACCGGACTGATGCTCTCCAGAATGGAAAAGGAGCCAGAACCGGAAAAAAAAAAAAAAACTTAAAAAGTTCGAACTTTGCAGTTCAATTTAGAATGTCAGAGTCTTCAGACTGGCAGCACTGTCAGTGCTCTCTCTCTCTCTCTCTCTCTCTCTCTCTCTCTCTCTCTCTCTCTCTCTCTCTCTCTCTCTC